CTCCCTATTGTAAATTTGGGCACTGGGATTTCTTCTTAAGTAAAAGCCGGCGTTTTGTGCCATCTCAGAAATACTATATGATACTGCAATCCCCTCCTTAGTTCACACCTACCTGTTCAGCCGCTACAGCCTACTGGAATCACTTTTCCGACTATACCAACAATGTTTGAAAAATGGTCGGTTCCATGCACCGCTACACCTAATATCTCACTCCCCCAGTTATCCTCGACCTTTACAAGAGTCATATCAGATCGTATATTGGCAGGAACTGACCAGTCTTAACTTTTCACTCTCGATAGAGTCCAAAAAGCGTCCCCTCATCTTTGGGCGTAACGATTTATTTTCCACCCTACAACCTCTTTCTCACAGACCAAAAGTCACAAGCCTATCACTTCTCTATCCCTATTTCCATGGAGAATGTTCAAATGAACTGCATTTCTTAGTTCCACCAATTCTAACCTTCACGGTCATGCCATGACACGCACTTTGTAACAAACCACCCTCATTCTTTTCGTATTCATTTAGTTTGACGTAAGTTTCACTCAAGTCTACCTTGTGGAAACGACTCCCAAGCGGTTGCTTCTCCGATTTTAACCTCTTCAAGACCAGCGTTAATCCTTATCATCCATTCATATCGTATAAGCTGTACCTCTTCGTCTGTAACCCTGTACCTCGATTTGCCCTCGGGTCTTGTACAGGGTGAAAATCATTGTAAAAGAATTTTTTTTGTAGAGGAATGCGCGTATACAGGTTTGTATCGGAACTTTGGAGCAAAGTATAAGTTTATCAGTAGGCCGCCCAGGAAAACAAATTTCCTCGGAGGTACCAAGACGTGTACTGTACCTACTGCATTCTAGAGTGAAAAAAAGGAAGTGGAAATTTACATCCTTCTTTTTATAGTCCTGAAACAATGCCACCTAATGGGTGCTTTAGCAGACTGGACGAGGATAATACCAATTGTTTGCGCTTTAATTTGTCTAGTTTTTAACTTGCTTTTAAGTTCGCCATATTTTAAAATGACGTTCTTGCACTCTTCTGAGACATTTTAATCTTTATGAAATTTTCTAAAAGATGTAATCTGGTTCACCTTCACTGGTGCAGATGTTTATGAGTCTATGATGCATCGCTAGACAAAATATACAACAAATGTCAGTGATTATGTTAAAAATAGTGTTTTGTAGCTGAAAACCTACTCTGTGCAACAATGATATTGTGTTTCCGTGGAAATAAATAGAAGGCAATACATGTAGATAGATAGATAGATAATGAACAGACAAAAATTGATACATATGTAGATAGATAATGAACCGACTAAAATAGATAGATAGATAGATAGATAATTAACAAACTAAAATTGGTAGATAGAAAGATAGATAGATAATGAACAGACAATAATTTATACAAAGAAAAATGGATAATGAACAGACTAAAATTGGTAGATAGATAATAAAAAGACTAAAATAGATATAGATAGATAGATAGATAGATAGATAGATAGATAGATAGATAGATTAATGAACAGACTAAAATTGGCAGATCGATAGATAATGAAAAGACTTCATGCCATGGCAACCGACGTAGGTACACTGTCGTTAGACGAACAAGGTGTACAGTGATATATTCAATTTAACCCGAGCAAGAGAGTTTGTTAGATAAAATATAAGAAAAATATTTTACTGCACCTTATAAAAAATACATCACATACCCAAATGGCTGATATATTCGCCACATTTGACATGACTATTGGTAATGGTATTGGTAATATTAGCCGTTTCCTTATAAGGAAACATTTGGCATTCATTAACCGAGCAATACTGTTTCGGTTGAAATTCATAAAATCTTTCTCTTAAAACACTGTTTTTAAGAAAACATGTTTCTCAAATTCAGTGTCACTATTTCCAGTATCGATGTTTTTTTTTTCTTTCAAACTTTCTATTTGATGTGGTGTTGAACACTAACATCGTCTTTATGTCAGTATTTTCTCTTCGAGTTACATGTTGCATAGTTATCGCTGCTGGTAGACCTCAAGTGATGTAACTATAGTCAATGTACTTTATTTCAAAATAAAGTCAATCCCATGCTGTCCCGTTGAGTGGTCTTCCTTGAAACTTCGACTGTTGAATTCACTAGAGTATGTAAAGTCACCATCATTCCTGATAAAGTGGTCGTATTATTTTTATTCTCATTATTTTGAGTTTCAGAACACAGTAAAGAGTATAAACGAATGATTTATCTCAAACAAACACAGGATTAAGCGTCATCGACTTACTTTATCTATATATATAAAATAGAGGATGTCTGCGTGTCTGTCTGCGTGTCTGTCTGTATGATACCTTTCCACTCGAGATCCATCCAACTGATTTTCACCAAATTTGGCACATACATTGTACAATGTAAGAGATAGTTCCTTAGCGTAAAAATCGATATTTTTTTAAAATCAATAATCGATAAAGCCGACCAATCGATAAATTCAACGTTTTTCCTCCGATTTCTTTCAAACTCGGTATGTAGGTTACTTACATCACAACGAGCTCAACGATACCTTATTTTTATTTCTACGCCACTGTATTTAGCGAATAAACGCGACAGAAGAAAAATCGATTTCAACATAAATTTTAAACTAAAAACTCCCTCAATTTTCAAGCAATCTAATACAAACTTGATAATTGAGTTCACCCATATAGTGAAAACCCACGTAAATAGCGAAAAATGGCGATTTTTACTGATTTCTTTCTTATTTTTTGTTGATCTTTCAACCAATTTTCATCAAACTTAACAATTGCTTTATAAATGTATCCTCTTTTACATTCCTGGTAGCACACTGACAAATTGAATTCCAAAAACTGCAAAATAATTATGGTCAGAAGTGGGTCTTCTTGTTGCGTGTTTTACCCATTCATATTCTCGGCTAACTTCGATTGAATATGTACAGACTACTTCTGTTATGTCAAAAACTGCATTAATTCAAAATGTTTTTTTAATGAAAGTAGTTTAAAGTAATTGAAGAAGATAGAGTCTGTTACATTTAAACATGATGCTGTTTTTGCTCCATTCTAATTAATCGCTTTTTCTGATCGACCAACTGTGTATGGCTACTAGTTTTATATAAAAATAAAGGCAAACGAACACTTTATCGTCGGCTTTCATCATGGATAAAGGTTTAATCCCGAGTGTTAAAATGAATGATCGTCCTTGAAACTAGAATTATTGAAGTGGTTCGAGAACGTACGATTGACTGGATATAAAGTCACCATTATTCATGATGAGGGGTTGATTATTCTTGGTAGGGGAATTGTGCTCAAAGTGAAACAGAGAATTAACAAGCTGGTAGCAGAGTGTAGTTGAGAAAAATAATGTCGGCCAGAAACGTTAATTTTCCATTAATATTACCAAAAAAAAGTATGCATCATGCAAGAAACTGAATCTTGGGAAAGATTTACTTGGTTGGAAAAATCGAAAATGGTATCTGCCGTCCTTCTCACGTCGAATGGAAAAGCTAAAGAATCTACACCCAGAAGTCATAATAAAAAAGACGGATTAGGAGTAGTGTTTGCAAGAATTGACTCCATGTTCGAGGAATGATCGACAATACAATATTAATTTGTCTGACTCAAGGGTATTTAAGATTATTTGGATAAGATGATAGGTACGTATATATATATATATATATATATATATATATATATATATATATATATATAAATATCATCGTATCCAAAGAATATATATATTTATATAATATCCAAATTATATATATATCATCTTATCCAAATAATATATATATTTACATAATATCCAAATTATATATATATATTTATATAATATCCGAATTATATATATATATATATATATATATATATATATATATATATATATATATATATATTAACAATAAATATCCATTTTTTTTCACCGGACGCACAACACAGTCGTGAGGTGTTGAGTTAAAATAAATAAAAATAAAAAATGTCTTGAGCATGAGTTGTGCTACTAGTGAGGAAAAATGTATATATATATATATATATATATATATATATATATATTGTTAATATACAATTTATAGCCTTTATTTTTACATTGAGTACAATTTTTTAACGCCAGCACTAAATGTGTAATACATATAAAAAATTAAAATTAAAACTGATATACAATGTTGGTGTTTTGTAAAAAAATTAGTTGACGGAGAAGAGTTATTGCGGGTGATTAAATTGGTTGTATTAAATTTAGTATATTATATAATTATTTTTTATTTTTTACTGGGATCAGTGGGGAATATATTAGTACTTGTATATAACTAATATATATTAGTTCTTGTTTTTTTTTATCTGTCTATATTTCTGAGATGAGGTATTATATACATTATTTACATTATTCGGACTATTGTCCTCATCTTTGTCGCCATATTTATCACAACGTTTCGGCTGTTGTACGCTCCGGCCTCCTTCAGGTGGTTGGAATGTCGAACTGAACCCTTTATTTCGCTCACTCGGGTAGAAACTGGGTTGGAACTAGAACAGTCTACCCCAGTGAGCGAAATAAGGGGTTCAGTTCGACATTCCAACCACCTGAAGAAGAACGGAGCGTACAACGGCTGAAACGTTGTGATAAATATGGCGACAAAGATGAGGACAATAGTCTGAACAATGTAAATAATTGTTTTTTTGTTTTTTTGTTTTTTTGTTTTGTTTTTTGTTTTGTTTTGTTTTTTTTGTTTTTTTTGTGTTTTTGCTTTTGTTTTTTTGTTTTTTTGGTGGGGGTGTTATTGTTAAAAACTCATAACCACTAATGTATTCCCCACTGGTCTAATGTGATATTGAATGTAAAGTCTATTATGGTATAATCTGGGATGAGACAAGCGTTCTAAAGGTATGGATGCCAGTCCAGTTGTTCCTGTTAAAACTGTTGCATTTGCTAAATTATAAAAAACAACCATGTTAATTTGAACTCGAAAAATGACCGACAATCATTGCCATGTTTCCTGGGAGAACTACTTGATTTCTTCAGAGAGAAAGAAAAGTAGGAACGTCGAAAGGGGGAGAAAAAAAGGAAATAGAGAAAGAAGGAATAACAGACTGAAACGAAATATGTATACATATATATATAGAGAGAGAGAAAGTGTAATAAATAGGGGACAGGAAAAGGAGTGGATATGAGAAAGATAAACAGAGAGCACGAAGGAAAAAAGAAAAAGAGAGTACAAGAGAAAAAGGGAGTGCAACAAGCATAGTAGAACGAGAGAAAGCTACGAAGAGAGAGAAAGAAAAAGAAACAAGAAAGAGAAGGGGAAATAAGAAATAGAAAAAATAGTGGAAGGTTAGATAGATAGATAGATAGATAGATAGATAGATAGATAGATAGATAGATAGATATTGAAAAGAATGAGATATACAGATATATAGATAGTGAAAAGAATGAGATAGATAGATAGATAGATAGATAGATAGATAGATAGATAGATAGATAGATAGATAGATAAAGCGAGAAAGAAGAGAGGTATAAAGAAATAAAGAGGACCTGAAAGAAAAAGAAATAAAGAGAAATAGAGCGAAAGGATTTTTTTTAGGGGTAAAGAGCAAAAGATGTAGAGAGAGAGAGTGTGTGAGCGAGAGAGAGAAAGAGAAACAAAGTGAAAGAGTAAACAGAGTGGAAACAGTACGAAAAAGTAACATATAAAGAAAGGAAAAAAGAATAGAAGAAAACGAGAAAGAGAGAAAGAAAAGATGGAGAAAAAGAACGAAGAAAAAGAACGAGAAATGGTTAGAGGAAAAAAGATAGCACGCTACAGACAGATGGAGCCTGCGTGTAACTAAGTTTTGAAACACAATGGTAACAAGCAGATAAAATCCTTTAATAAACGCAACATAAAAATACAAATATCGTTGAAACAAGACAAACAAATAAAAGAGGCTTAAAATCTATAAAAGGAAAAAAAAGACAAGGGGAAAAAAACAAGTCAACTTTGCGGTATGAAATGTTAACGAACGAAAGAAAAACTTGCTGACCTTCCATTAGGTTTTAGCGTATGCCGCTTCCGTTTTTGCTTGGCGTTTCCGGTCACAGGAAGGAAATTGATTGGAAGAGAGAGAAGCAGTACAAGAGAAAGGGATAATGGATGGGTCAACCTTCACATCATTCCCGGCCAGAACAGAACGCACCAGAAGTTGATGCCAAAAGTTTAGGCATTTCTTGAAATAGTTTGTGAAACTATCAAACCTGGAAAATTGGAATGAATGGAAATACAGACGATATTTTTGGTAATATTGATGCTGTCAATGTAAAAGAAAGAAGAGTATCGGGAGGAGGAGGAGATCGACTGAATTTTCTTAGGAGAAAAAGGTAGAAAAGAAAAAGGAAATTTTTTTAAAATTAAAGAGTAGTAGATAGACGAAAAGAGAGAGACAGAGAGAGAAGTGAAAAAATAGACGGAAAGACAAGAAGTAGAAAGGAGAGGAGGCGAAAGAAGAGGAGAGAGTATGAGAAAAGTAAGAAGTCGTAAAATACGGTAAAGGAAAAAAAAGAATGGCATAGGAGAAGGAGAAGTGTAAAGAAAACAGAATAAAAATGAATAAATTACATAAAGCAATAAAGGAAAAAGAAAAGAGCGGTGGCAAAGAAGAAACAGAAAAACTTTTCACACAAAACATCATTTAACTACGAAAAATAGGGAGCCAGCACAGCCCTTTCAAAGTATATATAGTGTGGGATTACTCCCAGTTTGTCTACTAAGGTACTTCTCCTAACAATCGGTAGGTGGCGTTATACAAGATGCAACAGAAATACCTCCCACATTTTAAACTGTCACCTGTGTGGTGCAAATGAACTTCTTGACTGATTGATTTGTTTTCTACGGTTTATCAACCCTTTGCAGGTTGTTTAAATCCAGAAAGTATTTTTTAGATTTTATGAAATTATTTTTTTTTGTTTTTTAGATAATAATGGTTTAGTGATACAAGTCTTACTAATTAACCCATTACTGGGGGAAAAGATATGGATTCATACTCTTCCCAATGGTATTTGCGCTTAGGTGAATATAACGAACTCAACTGGAATTGGAACTCGACTCTCCAATGAACAATTCCGAGCCAATATCCATTACACCAACCGCACATCCATGCCTGCAGCATTTTGTATTCCCAAACGGTGACCTAACAATGTACTAACCAGATCCGATGCTGCTTAACTTCGATCAACATATTTTGTAAATATGATTGTAATTATGGCGTAATAGTTTAGTATTTCATGGAGAACATGCGTTGTTTTGTTGATTGTGGTGTTGAAATGTTCGTATAAATGTCTGTTATGGTGTAGGAACCTTAAACATTAATTGGATTTGTGAATGCTATTATCTAATCTAAAATACGGATAACGATAACCCTAATCCCCCTATTTTTGACCTTGTACCACATTTTGTCTTTTTTTTTTTTTACAAATAGTTTATAAATAACTATCCATTACCTAGATTGTGACCAACGCATCGTAAGACGGTCTGACCATAATTTCGACTTAAAGAATCCACTTTTGAGTCAACTGGAACTGCAAGGTGACCGTGACATATTTGAGAAGGATATTAGAATAATCAAGAACCTATATTGTAGGCAAACCGCCTGCATACGGATAGAAAAGGAATTTAGTAATTTTTTTTTAAACGTTTCACCCAAAGCAAGGCGAGAAGCCACTAGGACGCAAGGGGTTACAGAAGATCAGATAGGAGTGATAGAAGAAAGGATGAGGAGAAGGGTAGTGGATAGATCAAGGCAACTGGAGATGTTGATTGACATTACATTTGAATAGCTGGAGATTATAGCTCTCAGGTAAACTGGAATACGGAAGGGAGTTCCACAGGCGAGAGGTGCGAGACATGAAGCTATCGGAGTAGAAGAGACGGCTACATTTAGGAGTTTCGACAGTGAAAGGGTGAACTCATAAAGTCTGGGAACCAGCGAATGCAGCTCCTCGGAGCAATTGCCATGAAAGTATTTGTAAAACAGACAGAGAGAGGCGACGGCGCGTCTGTGAGAAAGTGACTGTAGACGAGATGCCAGAGCAGGGCCAATTATATTGCATATCCGCCTCTGGAGCCTATCAAGAACCCTGAGGCAAACAGAAGGGGCTCCAGACCATATATGGCAGCAATACTCCATGCAAGGGCGAATTGTTGATTTGTAGATCTGGAGGATCGATTCCGGGGAGAAAAATTTCCTGGCGCGGCACAGGGAGCCAACTTTCCTTGCGGTGGACGAAGCAATTGACTCAATGTATTTGTTCCATCTCAAGTCAACGTGAGACCGAGCAGCCGCAGAGAGGTACTCTCGAGAAGTTGAGCGTCAGACATTCTAATGGAGGGCAGGGATGGTTCTCTCTGGTGATTAATAGAGAGCAGTTTTGTTTTTGAAGCATTAAAGTTGACCAGCCAATTCCTGCCCCAGTTCACAACCGTTTGGAGGTCCTTTTCGAGACGCACGGCCAGGTTAGTTTTGTCAGTGACACTAGATTTGTTTTTGAGGCAGGAATAAATTGTGGTGTCATCCGCGTAGATGCCAACTTGGGAATTTATGGCGTCAGGAAGGTCATTTATGTAGATAAGGAATAGAGTGGGGCCTAGGATGGAGCCTTGAGGAACACCTGCGTTCGTGGAATAGGAACTGGAGGAGAATCCGTTGAGAACGACCTTCAATTCACGGTTTGAGAGGAATGATTGTATTAGGTCAAACAATCGACCCGTAATGCTTGCGAAGAAGGCCGGCATGCCAAACCCTATCAAACGCTTTGGAGATGTCTAGGGCCACGGCACGAGCTTCCCCGTTATTTTGAAGAGATTGGTAGACAGTTTCAGTGATGGCCGTATGCACATCAGCTGTAGATCGGGCAAAGTGGAAAACCATATTGCTTGTCTGAGAGGAGATCATGGGATGTGAGGTGGTTAACCATTTCGGTATTGATTAGGGCTTCGAAATTTTTTTGTCGAAGAGGGGTAGGAGACTGATAGGACGGTAGTTAGAAGGGTCAGAGGGGTCGCCAGAGTTCTTGAAGACAAGAACAATCGAAGAGGACTTTCAGCAGTCAAGAAAACAAGATTCCTTAAGGCAGTAGTTATATAGTTTAGAGAGGGCGGGCGCCAGTTCAGGCGTGCATTTCTTCAAGACAATGGCTGGTATCCCATCACCACCACTAGCCTTGTTGGGGTCTAAATTGGAGATAATGCCCAATACCAAAGACGGGGTTATGTGTAACCCATACAATAGGGCCTCAGTTCTAAGAGGAAAGTCGGGTATGGGTACACCGGAAGAGTCGAGCTTTGAGTTGAATGAAAATTCCTGAGAAAAGCATTCAGCCTTGTCGGCAGAGGAGGTCAGGACATCGAACTGGTTGAACAAAGGAGGTATAGAGGGTTTGCAATTGTTCTTAATTTTATTGAAAGCATGTCTCCCAAGCCCACTATTTGGTGAGAGCGGAGGATTGGCCGTTGATCCCCCCCACCACCAGGTCGATGCTTGGACTTACGGTAAGCCGTACATTCACTTGTTATCATGAGGAAGAAAGCAGACAAACACTTGCTGCCCTGAGTATAATTTCGCTCTACCGAAAACTCATTTTAATTTTTCTCTATTTTTTTAAATTCATTTTTTTAATCGTTAAATTTTATTTTATTTGATATTTTTTCTCCCCCTACTCGTCAGTGTGTTTGCCCATAGTAACACATTTAGTCCTAATCATTCTAACCTATTTGATGGTTTAGTTAGAAATCCCGGTTCAAAAGAAAAATCAGAAAAAAAGGGAAAATTGAATGTCTTTGGCTAGATGCGAATGTGTCTCGTCAGTATTCTCAGGATTTAGTGGCCGAATCTTCTTGCTTGATAAATTGTCTGAACTTGGAATTGTTTTCGCCGTTTCTTTCTCCCGTTATTCTTAATTTTATTGAAAGCATGTCTCCATACAAAAATACAAATGCGTGTAAGACAAGCATGTGTCTTCTCACCGGTCTTAATCGACTTATACAGAGACGCGATTCTGAGAGAAATAAAGTCCTACCAGGATTCATTATTGTCGGCCACAATCTTAATATCTAAGGTATGGAGATCACATGATGTTCATAGGAGACAGGCAAAGGAAACTAGAAGCAATCCGACAGAGGGTGGAGAAGGAAAGCAAGAAGAAAGGACTAAACGTGAATTGCAAGAAGACGGAATGCATGGTTGCTAGCAAAAGGATGCGCCCAACATGCATATTACAAATTGGAGATACCAAAACCAAACACGTACAACGATTTAAATATCTGGGAAGAATTTTATCAGGATGGAAGGTAATGAAGAAAGGATTAAACATCAATTTGCAAAGAAGACGGAATGCATGGTTGCTAAAAAAAGGATGCGCTCAAACATGCATATTACAAATTGGAGAAAAAAACCAAACACGTACAACGATTTAAATATCTGGGAAAATTTTATCAGGATGGAAGGTAATGAAGAAAGGATTAAAACATCAAGTGCAAGAAGACGGGAATGCATGTTTGCTAGCAAAAGGATGCGCCAACATGCATATTACAAATTGAGATACAAAAACCAAACACGTACAACGATTTAAATATCTGGGAAGAATTTTATCAGGATGGAAGGTAATGAAGAAAGGATTAAACATCAAGTGACATTTTTTGAAAAAAATGGTTGCTAGCAAAAGGATGCGCCCAACATGCATATTACAAATTGGAGATACCAAAACCAAACACGTACAACGATTTAAATATCTGGGAAGAATTTTATCAGGATGGAAGGTAATGAAGAAAGGATTAAACATCAAGTGCAAGAAGACGGAATGCATGGTTGCTAGCAAAAGGATGCGCCCAACATGCATATTACAAATTGGAGATACCAAAACCAAACACGTACAACGATTTAAATATCTGGGAAGAATTTTATCAGGATGGAAGGTAATGAAGAAAGGATTAAACATCAAGTTTTAAGAAGACGGAATGCATGGTTGCTAGCAAAAAGGATGCGCCCAACATGCATATTACAAATTGGAGATACCAAAAACAAAACACGTACAACGATTTAAATATCTGGGAAGAATTTTATCAGGATGGAAGGTAATGAAAAAAGGATTAAACATCATATGCAAAGAAGACGGAATGCATGGTTGCTAGCAAAAGGATGCGCCCAACATGCATATTACAAATTGAAGATACCAAAACCAAACACGTACAACGATTTAAATATCTGGGAAGAATTTTATCAGGATGGAAGGTAATGAAGAAAGGATTAAACATCAAGTGCAAGAAGACGGAATGCATGGTTGCTAAAAAAAAGGATGCGCCCAACATAAATATTACAAATTGGAGATACCAAAACCAAACACGTACAACGATTTAAATATCTGGGAAGAATTTTATCAGGATGGAAGGTAATGAAGAAAGGATTAAACATCAAGTGCAAGAAGACGGAATGCATGGTTGCTCTGTTAAAAAAGGATGCGCCCAACATGCATATTACAAATTGGAGATACCAAAACCAAACACGTACAACGATTTAA